AATATATATATATATCAATATATATATATAATATATAATTGGCCTGTATGAAAAATGAATAATTATTATCCTAAAATAGAAATTTTAAATGAGACTACAAATTGCTATGCCTTAACTCTAACAAATAGATTAATGCACACTAATTTATAAAGAAGATACATTTTGTTTGGGAGAAAGTAAAGTACCATGATGTACCATAGAAGTACCATGATGACTATTATAGAACAAATTTTAAACTATGTGAAGTTATTGATTACTTATTGAAGAAATTTACAAAATGAGTTGATATTTTTTATTTTTTAAAATGATTTCAAATAATTCACTTGGAGCCAGTTTATTTTATAGTACCCTATCATTAGAATTCCTATTAAAGTTTTTGAATAGATAAGTTAAACATTTCCTAAAGATAATTAAATACAAAGAACTTAAAATATTTGACACATATAACTACAAAATATTTTACTAAATCTATTATAATTTTTCTAGTAAATATAGTTCACAAATGTGGCTTCTTGGAAATCACCATTTTGAAACTACTTTGAATTCAGATACCTGTCTTTGTTAAAATTCTCACATACCATTCATTCTTATCATATAGAAACACACTTAACTTTACACATGCTGCTTTTTTTTTTCTTTCTAAAGTTGTTGCTGGCAGAGGTGGTTAAAGAGATTGAAGAGAATCAAATCATATTGGCTCAATTCCTACATTCACCAGTAGTTCAAAAAAAAGACCTTCATTTTCAACTTATAAAAAACAGTGAAAACATGTATTTGAAGCAAACATCCCATATTGTATTATTATTTTAGAGATAAAATGTCACATATTAAACACAATTTTAAATTTAGTTTTAGTCAAAATAGCATTAATAACAATTTTAACATTACTGAAACTAGACAGAATCTAGTATAAAATTATAATATAGCAAACAAATAATAATACCTCTGCTTAAACCATTTTTCTAATTAACAGGCGAATTTCATTATTTTTAAGGCTTGCTTTACTCCTACTAGTAAATGCTACAAATTTAGAGATATGTTTCAGTCCCTCTACTTAACCAAATTCTAGTTAATAAAAGGGTTTCTGAATTTAATTTAGCTGTATGCAAACATTTATAAATATGCTTGGTAGTTTTATAGAACATTACAAAGAATTACTCTTGAATCTTAAAAATATAAACAAGTTAAACATAAACAAAAAAATCAGATTATATGAATACAATCATTTGACAGATACAGCTTTTAAGTCTTTTAACACTAAGTTGTCTTTTTTAAAGATATGACTTAATACTGTTTGGAGATTCTAAGTAGTATAGGAGAAATATTGAGCAACCATAGCAATCTATCTATATTTCACCACACATTGTCATATTTTCTGCCAAAGTTTTTGCAAAAAGTGAGATGTGACTACTATGTGAAATTTTTAAGAAAGATTGTGCCAATATTACTTATAAAATCAATATTACTAAACAATGTTTGTTGCAAGATTAGGAAGCTCAGAATACTCTTGAACTTATGTTAATGTGGACTGGTGACCATTCTACAGTTACTCAATGAAATAGAAGTAAGAATAATATAATGAAAAGTATTTTCTGTATGTAGTTGGACATTTAATACATGGATACATTTTATGCAGATCTGAAGATCTTATATAATGGCACCAAATAGTGTCCTATAAAAGGCTATGATTTTAAACTATAGAATTTAGTTTCAATTACAAATTGGGGGTTTGGATTTGATCCCAAATAAGGAATGACTGTTTTAGGATTGTTTAATTTTTCATCTCATGTGTAAAAACTTTTTCCCCAGAATTTTTTAGGGGATGATGTCTGTATGACCGTGGCATCAGAGAGAGTCCATATAATATTAATGTCCTAGGAATACATTTATGATTGTTTTCTCAAGTACTACTTTTCTCTTAGATTTTTTTCTTTTGCTATTACTTTTAAACTTTGGTTCTGAACTTATTTTTTCTGTTTATATATAAAAATGAAATTTTATTTAATTTCAGTCCAATAGACTGAAAATGCATTTCTTCATCTGGGTTAGAATTAAACACACCACTCCGTATCCCACAAAACCCATTTACTTCCCAAAGTTTCTGAAAGGCTACTTACATTGCGCTGTCTCCAAGTTCTTCATAGAGATGTGCCCCTGGAGGTGGTGGGGGTGGTGGAGGCGCTGCCATTGGAGTGGGAGCTGGTGCTGCTGGCTTTGCTGCAGGTAGTGCAGACTGAATTCGTGCTGTCTTGGTGCATTCAGCTTGCCGTCTTGGATAAAGTAAGATTGTTTTGTAAAATTCTTTTTAGAAATCATATGCTTTTTAGCAAGCTATCTTAATAATGATGTTCAGTTATCAGAGGAGCCCACTTATAATATTTTACATAATTATTTGAATTCATAGAATGATACTGTGACAGAAGCATCCTCAGAAATATCACTGACTTATACCTGTCCTTCAGTTCTTTAAAATATTTGCTCCTTGAAGAAGGGGGAAAATTAATAGGAGTACTTGCAAGATAAATTAAGTAATAATTTTAAAGTTACAGCTAAAGGAAATAAGTTGTAGTATTGTATGATTGCATAGTAGGGTGACTATAGATAACACTAATGCTGTGTATATTTTGAAAAAGTAGAAAAAAAAGGATTTTTAATGTTTTTACACAAATAAACTATATGTATTTGAAGATACAGATAAGCTTACCCCGAATTCAACATTACACAATATATGTATATATAAAAACAATAAATGGAACTCCATCAATATGTACAATTTTATATGTCCATTAAAATTTTTAAAATAATTTTAATAACTGTATTGCATAATTAAAAGTTTAATGGATACCTTCATTAAATGAGGCATATAAAAGATATTTTTCATTTATTTTTCATCTATTTTGAGAAAAGTTATTTAAAAACTGTTCAAATACTTTTGACATTACTTCACAGAGGCTGTGAGGTGTGCACATACAGAAGGGAGATTTGGTTAGATGTTGTATTTTTTTTTATTCTTAGGAATACTTGTGATTCTTGTGTTAGAGATGGATCTCTGTTTTTTTTATTATTATGGGCACATATTGCTAAAGGGTACAAATGATTAGAACACTTTATTTCATATTTACTTCAGTTATATCCAATTCTAAAATCAGCTCAATTCCATATATATCAAACCAAAGAGTGCACAACTATTACAAATGCCAGTCAAATAATTAGTACATAGTTTTGAACAGGATGACCACTTGATCAACAGGATATATGGTTTCTATTTTTCTATTACATAAAATCATGTGCAAAATATCCATAATTATACTTACACTTTAAACCTGTTTAGGAAAGCAATGAGTAAGAAAAAAGAGAAAACCACATTAGAGATATTGTGCTCATAATATTTTAACATATAACTTATTCTAAATCATGAATAATTTACTGGTTAAACTCATAGTGACCGTTAACGATATAGTAGGGAGACTAAGGATTTCAATTCAAAAAATGAAAGTGGGAAGCACTTCATTATTACCATTATAGTTATAAAAGGGGCTAAAACATTCATTACAGGAAAATAAATAAATGAGCTAAATGGAATAGGAAAAACTGGATTAAAACACAGTGACATAAATTTCAATTCTAACAGAAATGAAAAATTGAAGATGATCTGGTCTTTCGAATTGACTTGTTGGTTCACTCAGCTTGAAGAAAATTAAAGGAATGAAGTGAGTCTTACAGGAAGCACTGATTACACTCTTGGCCTTACTTTGAAGCTGAAATTGGAAGGTAGAACTGCAGAGTATCAAATTCATTACAATTTTCATCATATTTGCTTTGTACTTTTTTATACCTAGCAAATTTCAAAGACACATCATAATATAAAAGAATAGCTAGCCATTTTAATCTTATTTACAGGCAAAATTTGAAGGTACAAACATTAGGTCTTTACATGTTAGAATTTTTCTTTGATATATGAGCAGAGCAAAACTCATTTTGTGTGATTCTGTTAATCTACAAAAAAAGTAATAACTGAAATAAATGTGTACTAAAAAGAAAATTAAATAATCATCTATAAAACATTTAAGTATAAGCATCTTAATTTTTTTTTAATTTCAGACTGCTGATAATATCACATGAATGCTTCAGTTTTGATCACTGTATTGCATGTCAAATATAAGAACTTTTCTCACTGATTTTCTTTCCTATCAGGATATAAAATTGCTCCTTTGGGAAACAGATGGATGAAAAAGGACAACTAACAATACAGAATAAACTTGAAAATTAATATTGGATTAGTGGATTAATAATCTAAAATAATTTTCCCAGTATCATTTGTTCAGATTTAGTATATCATACCTCCAGATTTAGTATATTGATTGACATATTAAGGAAACATTAAGCTCAAATATATCAACCTAAATATTATGTTGGCAACTTCACATTGTTTTTGTGATGAAAATATTCCTCTAATATCTTCATGTAGATCATAATTTTCCAGCTTCAGTTTGAAATCACCTTACCATACTCAATTCAGAAGGAAGTTTTCAGTGTTTGAGAGTTTACTTTTTCAGTAAACATTTTACATAATTAATAACAGCTCTACTACTATTTCTTACTACTTGTTACATCAAGTAATTTATATAATTCATGATGTCTGTTATTTATTTTCTCTTTGTAGCACCCTCAGAGTTACCTAACTTCTTGACCATCTTTCTATTTTTTTTCAGTAGAGATATATTTAAAATGTGTATGCATCAGTCACAAAGTTTCTGATACCTAATATCAAATCAAGGATATTGCTAGTGTGCCTTAACTATATACATTTAAATAGTAATAATTACTTGATTATTTTGAAGGGTCAAATAACTTTTTAAGCACAGATATTATAAATGGAAGAGTTTCACTGTAGGAAATGGAAAATTAAGGCTCTACTCAGTCAAAACATATAACCAGCTATTATAAGACAGCTTAGATCAAGGAAGGAAGAAACCACATGGAGAATTACACGTGATATGCTATGATTTTATTATGATTTTGTTAACACTATCATCATCTGCATGGAGGCAAATTTAGCCATATGGATGAAAATCTATTATGGCAATATGTGAGGTTTCATACCTTTGTTTGGAACTTTGTAAAATGGATATATGGATATAAGATTATATTGTTATATTCTCTAGGATACTTATGAGCTTCTCTCAGGAGGGATTTAATCCAAAGAATGAATAAAACCACAGGAAATAAGCTAATCCTCCTACTGAATGAGATTATATTAGGAGCACAGGGACCTTGAGCTGTACATGAGAAGCTTGTGGAAAGCTTGTAATGTTTTCCTTTTGAGGAAGGTGATTTGGTTCAAAAAAGATAAAGCAATCCCAGAATGGCTGAATTACCAATATTTTTCAACTACAAAGCCACATTACAAGAGATGATTTTCTATAGGTCTTCAAAGAACAATCCATGTTTAGTGTCCTTGAATACTTACTGTCTGTAGCTGACTAAGACCACCAAGATGGCAGGAATACAGCAGAGGATGATGATGAAGGCCAGAGCCAACAGAGCCCCTTCTGTGTATCCTAAACTTTCTCCTCGCTTTTTAATGCTGGTCACTGCCTCTGGAGTCCGGATCTGCAGAATGCGCCCTCCTTCCCCATAATATGGTTGAAAATCTTTATTGATATCAAGCAGCTTGCCATCCAAAAATCTTTATGATTAGATAAATAGTAAAATTAATGACACTAGAAAAGAAAGGGCCATTTTAAAATGAAATAATACTATAAAATATTTTATTATCTTTAATTTTAAAACAAACTGAGAGTGTTATGAATAATAAAGGTATTACACTGTGGAGGAGAATCAAGGAATGGAATAATTATCACTTAATGTATAAGAAGAATCAGCAATAAAGAAGAGTTAAGTATATATCTGTATAAATCAATGCTGTTAATGATAATGTCCCTTACTTTCAATATCACTAAACCTCCAACATCAAAATAATTGACATCATTAAGGTATTCAGATGGAATATAATATAATATTCCAAAGTAGACAGCACTGTTTAAAATTATATTCATTCATTTTCTCTTGTGTCTTCAAGATGATCTTGAAGACACACAATACTGATGGACTACAGCCCAGATTCTGACACCATTATGGAAATAAGTCTAAGACTCCAACCTAAATCTTGAGATTCACAATAAACGTTTTCTACCACATCATCTTAAATGCCAACATTCTCAAACCTCAAAGTGAAACAATGTTTTATAGGAAGAACATGAACAAATATTTTTTCTGCCTGGGAAAAA